GACCTTCGTCAAGTGATGCAACATCCGACGTTCACACGTGACTGGCAATTAACAGCTGGTTTTCTGAGTGTCCGCTCGCTTAGGGGGAATTTTTTTGGAGGGCTAATGAGCGGCACTTTTGTAAGGGGAGTATTAAAGCCTTGATTCTGTGCTATTTATGGAAAATTCAGTCGAAATTTATTTGAAACAACACTTCTTGGCCTTTTGATGACCTCTTCACCTCCACGAAATCGTCTTCTAGGAATGTTCCTGCCTCTTCTCGCATTTCTCTTCAAAATTTTCCCACAAACAGGCGTTTTTCCAAGTCAGTTTTGAATTTAAACTACTTTTTGGGAACACAAAGGAGGGAAAACGCTCCTAAAAGGCTCTCAAAAACCCTACAAAAGGAAAATCACATTTCCCAAGGGTGGGGCGGGGATTAATTAGATTTTGAAACAGAAAACACAAAAGGATGACCCGGACAATGGCTTTGACAGGAGGTACAACAGAAGGTTTTGAACTCCTTTTTTTGGTAATCCAAGACCCAGGAAAGAGAAAGAAATAAAAATTGATTTAAGCTGATTTTCAGGGGCACATTAAAGGGGCTGTGTGCCACGCCCACTGCCGCTGTTGCTGCTGGTGTGGCAATTAATATCAATTCCCGTTTGGGCCATTAACACGGGCCAGCTGAACATATTGGCTAACAAGTGTCAAAGTCGCGCCAAATTAGAGACCGAAAGGCGACGACGACGACGACGACGACGACGACAAGGATGATGATGACACGGCACGCGGATGGTTGGAGCGATGGAGCGATGGAGGGTGGGGTAGGGCGTGGCTTTGGACTGCGATTGGAATTAAGGATTGGTACCCCACTCTCTCTCTCTCTCTCGTTCGATATCCTGCCAAGAGAGCAGCATGTGGCCCCCCGCCCCTTTCTACTTTCGTTTTTGGGTTCTCGGGGTCTTGGCCCCAATTGATAATAATATTCGATTGCGTTTTGTTATTTGCTTTTGGGGTTGGGCCCTCCCCCCTGCCCCTCCCTCTTTGATAGTTTATTATTGTCTCTTGGAGAAGGAAGGGGAAGCGGAGGGGTTCGCCAATGGCCTACGTCACCCCATGGCCCCAACACTTGTATCCTTCTCTCTCTCTCCCCCCCGCTCTTCCATTCCCTTGTGACGCAAGCCCGTTTGAGTGGCAATAGTTTTGACAGTTGAAAAGGGCGCCGCATGGGGCACGTCATGTAGACACTTGTAGACACCACGTCATGGACGTTTTATCCGTCCTGCAGTGGATGTGCCCCTCAGACGACGACGACGACGACGATGATGCTGATGGCAAAGCCAAAAAGCGGAAACGTTTATCAGCCAAAGGCCCAGGCCCTTTAAAGACCTCGGGGTCTCTCTCTCTCCCTCTCGCTCTCACTCGCACAGCGGCGCTCCTCCTTCCAATGACGTCCACAGACGACATCCACCATCCACCATCCAAAGAAGAATGCAAAGGAGATAAGGAATAACGAGAAGAACAACAACTACAGCGCTAGGCAAATAAATATCGAAACACAATGAACTACACGACACGAGGGTCGGTCGAAAACTATTTTTAAACGAAACAAATAAAAACCATTTGTCAGAAAGGGCGGAATGGAAAGTGCTTCTGATTTTGATTTATTGTTCAATTAAAATTAGTTCTTTCGATGGATTTTATGTTTATTTATAATTGGGAAAACTAATGGGAAAGTGGGGGAAATACGGGGTCTTTTATTTGTTTCAAAATTCCTTAACTGTGGGAATTCTTTTACTAGAGTTTTAAGGTATTGAAAACAAAGAGGAAAAAAGAATGCTATGAATGGTATTTTCATTATTAATAATTTCAACGTATTCCGTATTCATTCGAGCTGATTTTTGGCAGAAAGGCAGTTAAAGGGTCTATAGAAAACTTCACCAAATATCAACCCAATAGATTCCAAATTTTGGACACCACAAAAATTTCCTTTCGAAAATACAATACGAATATAACCTCTAAAGTTCTCTATGTTTCGTTTTAATATGCCAAGAAATTACAATCCTCCCCTCGTCAAAGGTCAATCGTAGTATGCGCATTGATGACAACAACAGAACGCGACGACAACCGGAAGACCGTCTAGCATAATGAGTTATAAATATACGTAAGCATATGCACGTATGTGTGAGTGTGTGTTGGTATTGTATACTCCAATGTGTATGTGTGTGAGTGTAAGAACCGCAAACGTAGCTGATAAGCGGCTGAAACGCCAACGCATTGCCTGATGGGCTTTCACTTTCGATCGGCAGAAAAGAGTAGTGCAAAAAGAGAGCGTAGTGTGGGAGTGTGGGAGACGGCAACAGTGTAATTGCAGCAGTGGGGGAGTGAGCGAAAGGGGGTCTTGCTAGACACCACATCAAAGGCATTGCGAATCGATTGGGATGGGGGCACTTAATGGAATTAACATGCAACAAGAGTAACAGCAACAGCAACGGCAGCAGCAACAAACGTGTGTAAATTACGGTAAAACACTTAAGCATTAAGTAATGCAGCTGAGTGAGAGCGAGCAGGCGAGCTAATGAGGTGTGACAATTATAACGGAACAGCTGAACAGAGAGAGAGAGAGAGAGAGGGAGAGAGAGATCCTCTGCACGCGGTAGAAGAATGCAGAACGCTGTCTGGGTCTGGGTCTGGGTCTAGGGCAGGGGCGTGGAGTGGAGTGGTTGCTTACCTTATACGACGTTTCTTGAACCGTTTTATGCGCTGTTCGTTAATTGGAAATTTTCGCAACAATCAGCTGATAAGGGAGTGTGCGTGTGTGTACGTTTGATAAGAGCAGCGGTACCGTTTGCACCTTTCCCTCTCTATTGCTTTCTTAGTGCGAGCACACAGCCAGCATAAACAATTTTTGTGGCAGAAGAAGAGTCTCTCTCGTGGTTCGCCGTCGTCGTCGCGCGACAACGCCTAGAAGGCAATTTTCCGGCTTTTCAGGAACGCGGTGGCGGCTGCAGCGTCAGCTAGGCAGCGGCACGCTTTCTCGCTTTTGGCTTTGACTTTGCCTTTTTGATTTTTGCCTTTGGATTCTGGCTACTGGCTTCTGCTTTTGCTTTTGCCTGGTTTTGAGCGGGCTGCTTTTGTTGTTGGATATACTAAATTTTTTGTGTTTTTCTTTTCAATTTGACCGCATTTGTCGAATTTGGTTTTCTTTTTTCTTTTTGTTGTTTTGCGGCTCTCTTTGGCCGACACACACACAAACACTGGCACAGCACAGCACTCACACACACACGGAACTTACGGGCGCGCGGCTCACACACAAACACACCGATACACACGGCGGGCAGCGAGAAGAAATTTTTACGGGGCCGAAAAAGCAGTTGACGAAATCGGCTTGATTGCGGGGGGACTGGAACACACGGCACACGAGTCGTTGACGAGCGGGGGGTGGTTCGGGCGCAATTGAACTTATTTTTGCATACGATTGCAATACACGCGTCTCACTCGATTTCTAGTAAATCATCCGCGATGGAGAAGTATACGGGACCCCGCGAAGTTGTTTTGCCACAAGCTATCGGATTTATCGAAACGAGCTTAGCCCACTGAACCCCCCTCTATTTAAACAGGTGAAAGAGTTGAGTTGGACTGCCGGAAATAATACTTTATGTGAATTCTTCTTGCATATTCTTCTTTCCTCTTTGCCTATAAACAAAATTACCACCAAATCTTTCACCGTAACTACGCTAAAATTCTCAAAATTTCTTAATTTTCGTGCCAATATTTAAATACCCGCCCGGTCGACAATGGGTTAATCAGTGTCAGTCCATATGCTTCGATTTTGGTGTTCCGTCGAATATAACTAGCTAGGCAGGACCCTCAGCTCTGCCCACATAATTTTATCCGCTTAATGAATCAATTTTCTACTGACTGGCTTATTTTATATGCTCGCTTTTATTGTATTTTGTCGAAAAAAGAGTTTTATCGAAAAAGGTCAACGAAAAAAAACCGCAAGAAACGTAAATGTGTATGGAATGTTGCTGGTCAACAGGTATGTGCTATGAGTATGGCTTATTTGTATACCCTATTTCCTTTAATAAGGTTAAAATTATGTGTACCATGACTTCTTGGATGGAAATTTTTTTGACTCATGTGTATCCCGATCCCGATACCTGTACCTGGTCGCTGTAAGAAGACCTACACTGACTAGTTTCTGCATATATGATGACAAACATATTCTCATTTCTATAATATCCATTTCCCCAGGGTATGCAGAATGTTGCCCATGTTGCTGCTCGATTTCTCGGCACATGAGTCTGGCTCATACAACATAAAATTGTCAGCAGTAAAAAGCAGTCTGGAATGAGACTCATTGTTGCTACCGATTCAAAAAGAGCAAAAAAGAGAGCCTTAACCGATTTGAAGAGAGCCAAAAGAGCTAATGACCGTTTTGAAGAAAGCAGTTCGGCCATAGATACCGCTTAAATATATAGAAAAATTGATATAGCTTTTTTAAAATTCAGCTTTTTTTTCTGAAATCTAGCTTTTTTTACACAAATATTTTCAGCACTGGTTGAAAGATTCAAAACATTTTGTGCGCATGGTAAAGCAATGGATCAGGTAGGGAAAGGTGAATATATTATATATCACCCAAAATTCATATAAGTATCGGCTGTCTCCTTTTCATGTAGCTCTAGTTCTTAACTTTTAACTGACTGAGTAAATAAATAAATTAATTAATATTTTAGGAATGCAACACCTCTTGTTTTAAATATGTGTATGTGAACGCAAGGCAAACGTATATTAGGTGGGGCAGAACAACCAGCTGTTCACCCACACACATGTTGCACACTCTACCTTATGATTAGGTGAGCATTTCGGTTTGCAGAGAAAATTCAATAAAATATCTGAAAAACAGCCATATATGGAGAAAGTCATAACAAACCAAACTAAGTTATTTTTTAATATCACACTGGATTCCATGTATTTTATAACCACTCCAAAAAAGGTCATCAAAAAGTCGTTGCAGCTGCCACTGCCGGCAGATTTTAGGTAACGCTGTCGCCTGGTTCCCGCTGCCGAACCATGATTTTCACGAGGAAAACACTGAAATTGTTAAATTACCGCCTGAAAAGCATTGCCGTCGCCCGCCTAAGTGCCCATCGATGCCTCCAGAGCAGCGCCAGCGGAGAAGTGCCCTCCGTGGAGGTGAAGTTCAGCAATGGGTGAGTGTCCATCCTCCCAGGCAGTGTCCCCACGTTCAAGATAACATCTTTCTCCTTCAACAGACGTAACATGAGCATCAGCTCGGGGAAGCTGGCGCGCTTTGCCAATGGCACTGCCGTCTGCCAGATGGGAGACACCGCCGTGATGGTGACAGCGGTGGCCAAGCCGAAGCCCACTCCCGGCCAGAACTTTATGCCACTGGTGGTGGACTATCGCCTGAAGAATGCCGCCTCGGGGCGCATTCCAATGAACTTTATGCGCCGCGAGCTGGGTCCCTCCGAGAAGGAGATCCTGTCGGCCCGCCTGATCGATCGCTCGCTGCGGCCGCTGTTCAACAAAGACTACCGCACGGAGACGCAGCTGGTGTGCAACATGCTGGCCATGGACGCGGTGCACTCGCCCGACATTCTAGCCATCAATGCCGCCTCCATGGCTCTGTCCCTGAGTGATATTCCCTGGAATGGACCGATTGGAGCTGTGCGGTGAGTGGATTAGCCATCCGGAGTAGAACCATTATTGAGCTTCTGTTTCAGGGTTGGCCTTTCCGACGGCGAGGTGCTGATCAATCCCACCCGCCGGGAGCTGCAGTCCTCGCAGCTGGACCTCGTGGTGTCGGCCACCAAACAGAACCTCGTCGTGATGCTCGAAGGCAAGGGCAATGTTGTGCTGATGCAGGACCTCCTGAAGGCCATAAAGCAGGGCACGCGGGAGGCACAGTTCATCATCCAGGAGATCGAGCGCCTGCAGAAGGCCTACGGCAGGAAGAAACGCGAAGTGGAGTCCCCGAACCGAGTGGATCCCGAGCTGCAGGAGGCGGTGCGCAGCATGTGCGAGATGCGGCTGCGAGAGATCTTCCAAGATGCGAATCACGACAAGATCTCGCGCGACAACGCTGTCAACGAGGTGCGCTCGAATGTGATCGACAAGGTGTGGTCCTCCTATCCGGACACCGAGCCAGGGGTGATCGGCGAGGAGTTCAATCAGACGTGCCGCTCGATCTTCCGGGAGCTGATCTTCGAGCGGAATTACCGCTGCGATGGCAGGGACTACGACACGCTGCGGAACATCTCCTGCCAGGTGGACATGTACAAGCCGCTGCACGGCTCGGCCTTGTTCCAGCGCGGACAGACGCAGGTCTTCTGCACCGTGAGCCTGGACTCCCCGGAGAGTGCCATGAAGCTGGACTCGCTGGCCGCCCTGGACAGTGGCGGCCTCAAGGCCAAGAATTTCATGCTCCACTACGAGTTCCCGCCGTACGCCACGGGGGAGGTGGGCAGGATTGGCCCGCTGGGTCGGAGGGAGCTGGGACACGGCGCCCTGGCGGAGAGATCTCTGCTGCCCACATTGCCACACGACTACCCCTTCACGGTGCGCCTCACCTCCGAGGTGCTCGAGTCGAACGGTTCCAGCAGCATGGCCAGCGTCTGCGGGGGATCCCTGGCCCTGATGGATGCCGGGGTGCCGGTGAGTGCCCCCGCCGCGGGCGTGGCCATAGGTTTGGTCACCAAGTACGAGAACGACGACACAAAGCACCTGCAGGACTATCGCATTCTCACCGACATCTTGGGCATCGAGGACTACATGGGGGACATGGACATGAAGGTGGCGGGCACACGCAAGGGATTCACAGCCATCCAGGCGGACCTCAAGGTGCCTGGCATTCCATTGAAAGTGGTGATGGAATCTCTGCAAAAAGCCACCGATGCCAAGTCCAAGATACTGGACATCATGGCCGAGGCCATTCGAGAGCCACGGTGAGTGCCAAACGATGCCCTAAGGATCCTCCTGAATGCTCACAGACTTCCCTTCTTTCAGGAAATACCCAAAGGACAGCTGGCCCGTGAGCGAAACCATCAGCGTGGAGCCGCACCAGCGCTCCCAGTTGATTGGCCCCAGTGGCCTGCACATGAAACGCATCTACCTGGAGACGGGCGCCACCCTCACCGCCGCCGATGAGAGCCACTTCGCGGTGTTTGCCCCCTCCCAGGCGGCCATGGACGAGGCCAAGGAGCTCATCGAGGGATACATGGTCAAGGAGCGGATACCGGACCTCGAGTTCGGGGGAATATACACTGCCAAAGTAACCGAGCTGCGGGACACGGGCGTCATGGTCATCCTGTATCCCAGCATGCCGCCGGCCCTGCTGCACAATTCGCAGTTGGACCAGCGAAAGATAGGGCATCCCTCGGCCCTGGGCCTGGAGGTGGGCCAGGACATACAGGTCAAGTACTTTGGCCGCGATCCCGTCTCCGGCTTCATGCGGCTCTCCCGAAAAGTGCTCCAAGGCCCGGCCCTGGGCATTCCGCGATCCCTCAACAAGGCGGCCGGCGAGAATGGCACGTGATCCGAAAATTGTTCAGCTCTTTGGAGTCCTCAGGCATACGCAACTTTATTTTGTAGGCTATATAAATTTGTGTTTTTAAAACTTGTACGTATATCAAATATATCGTATATGTAGATGACAAAAGAACAACCCATCAGGGAATCCGGGCATAAACTTTGCTACTTAAACGTATAAATGTTGGACAATCAGTTCAAGTAAATGATAATCTTAGAATGTAAATCTTTGCGGGATAGGAATTCTCTTTTGGTGCGAAACGAAACGAAATTTAGATGGCATCGGGAACGCACAGCCTCTTAAACAAATTTAAGTAGAATTTTGGCCCATCAGAACATGTTTTTTCTAAACCTAATTTAAGCAGGAATTACTTGGTAATCCCTTCCTTTCTCTCCTTTGGGTTTCAGATAATCACACGATAGTAGGAATCGGATATGCTGTACAAGGCCACAATGGGTGTCTTGGCGTCGCTCAGATAGTCCACAACTTCGTCGTGTATCTCCACTATATAGCGTTTGTATTTGGAAAATCTAAAACAAAAACAAATCAAGCATTAGAGCGCATTCTTTTGTGTGGTCTTGTGGCACAGAATGTGGCGCACCTTTCGATAACAAAATTAAATTCCTGTTCAGTCTCTTTCTTGCGTATCTCGCGCGGATTTATGGCACCCACAAAGGCATTGACCACCGCCGGTGGCAGCTCCACCACCAGCACCACAAACGACTCCTTCTTCATGAACTGGGCGAGGGTGGAGCCCATCTGTTGGGCCACCTGGTTCTCCAGCCGGCGCTTGTAGTTCGCCGTGGGTTTGTCGTGGGTGAGGAACGTGACCTGGACATTGGGCAGTTGGCTGTAGCTGTTCTTGATCGACACATTCGATGCGGAGGTGCTCAGGCCGTTGCCATCGCCTCCACGATCTCGGTTGCTGCTGCTGCCACCGCTAGTGTTCATGTTGGACAGCTGGCTGGCCGAGTAGTCCACCGACGCCCCATTCGCACTCTCGGCGCGCAGCAGCTTCTGTATAAAGTCCACCAGTTCTGCCCTGTTTACGTGGCGCTCCTGGAAGCGCTCTCTTTCAAAGGAGCGCACGCGCAGCGAGCCATTCTCTGCCACCAGGATGACGTGCAGGGCACCCAGTCGCGCCAGATCCTGAGCCTCATCGCCGGCACCACTGGCCGTCTCCACAATGCCGCACCTGATGCCCACCGACCAGAGCAGGCGCATGATGTACGTGACATCCTTGAGCGGTGGCCGCGTGCCGCACACACAGATGCCCACATCGATGGCCCGGCAGTCCTTGGCATACTCCACGCCCACGGCAGCCACCAGCTTGTCCAGCGAGAAGGACAGACCCGCTCCACTGAGCACACCACGCGGCGGCAGGGTCTGATTGTAGCTCTGCGCCTGCCGCTGGAACTCGTGGAGCATGGCATCGTAGCGCTCTCCCACCGCCAACACGGAGGGATTGCCCGAACGGTTCGGTTTCAGGTCGGCCGTCATTTGCCAAACGATTCCGCCGCTGCTGGCGCGCTCAAAGCTGATGGGCAGACCGGCCCAAATCTGAATAGGACACTGGGAAACAGAATGGAGATTAATGAAGTCCTAGGTCGTGTGCATGCCCTGAACTCACGGTTACGCCCAGGCTGTAGGCCAGTTCCACCACATTCTCCAGTTCGCGCAGTGCCCCGCGGGCCAGGGATGCCGCCTCGCCCTTGCCGCGCATCAGGGACTTCAAGGCGGACTCCTCCACGCTGCTGCGCGAGCCCGTCAGCAGGAAGTTGGCCAACAGCATGTCCATCAGGGTCTGTGCCGAGGTGCGTGACTTCTCCATGATGACGGTGATGCTCGAGTGGAACTGAAAGCGGGAGATGCGCGACTCAATAAAGTCCATGGTGCCCTCGAACAGGGCCGAATATTGAGATTTGGGAACGTTGCAGAAAATGAGAATGGCCCGCAGAAGATTGGTGTGGTTCATGCGGATAACGAGGTTACGTTCGCGCAGGCGCGGCAGTTCGCTGGTGATCTCGAAGGCCAGAGAGAGCAGTTCCGCGTCCACCAGATGGCTGCCGGCGGAGGGCGTGATGATGTCGAAGGAGCACTCGTAGTTCTGCTTCGGATGGAAGTTGAAGACCCGCTCCTCGCGGTACACCCGATCCACGCAGTAGCGACGGATGAGATTCACCCCGTTCATGGTGACATGGCGGGCAAACTGCGTCCTCAGGTCGCACGGGAGGACCACCACGCAGCCGGAGTGGGTCATCAAGTGCACGGCATTGGCATTGGCGCTGGCACTGCAGTTCCGTGACGAGAGCGGCGACAGCAGCGGCGAATCCACTTCGATGGCGCCGTGTTTGCGGAAGAGGTTCACGACCTTGGCCTTGACAAACTCAAAGACCGGATTGAGGGACACAATGTCGTCGATGACGATGGCCGAGTTCCAGGACTTCATCGCCCGACTGCTGCCCAAATGGTAGGTGTGCTCCAGGACCTCATCGCTCTCCTGCTGCAGACAGCGGGCCACCAGATTCTTGTAGGCCTTGCTCTGGGGATTGGCCAGGGCATGGCGCAGCATTTCCTGCAGCTCGTTGGCCTCCAGCTCCGCCGGCGGCACCAGATCCGAGATGAGCAGCTCCTCAGCAGTGGGCCGCTGTGCGGGATCGTGGCTAAGCAGCCAGCGAAGCATCTGCAAGGCAGGATTTTAGATGGAACCCCGTCGGAAGGGTGGACTCACTCACCTTGACGGTCTTCTCGTATTTGGAATCCTTAAGCATGCCCTCGGGTATCGTTATGCAGGCATTCCTGAGGGCCATTATGGTCTGGGCCCGCTCCATGCTCGTGTCGAACGGCGGCTGGCACATCTCAAACAGAATGATGCCCAGCGTGTACATGTCCACCTTCTGGTTGTACACCGACTTGGAGGCATTGCCCGTCAGCTCGGGCGCCACGTACAGAGTGGTGCCCACTTTGCCCGTGCCCGTGCCGTCCTCGGTGCTGGTTATATGCTGCGCCGGCAATTGCGATGGATACTCGTGGGCCTGCAGGGCCAGAAAGCTGGTGGTCGCGAGCCCAAAGTCTCCAATCTTGATCTGATCGTGGGAATCCAAGAAAATATTCACCGGCTTGAGGTCCCGATGGATGATACCCTGCTGGTGGATGTGCGAAAGGCCCTCGGCGATCTCCCGAAACAAGCGCCACAAGCGATCCGTGTTCTCAAACAAATTGTCATCGATGGCGGTGCTAAAAGAGGAGGAAATTAAAAGGGGATTCATTGGGGGGTCCTCTGCTGCCACTCACCGCAGGGTGCACTTTTCACAGAACTCCATTTGGATGTACATCACTTGCATGAGGGGACGCGGCGAGTTGGTTCTGCCTCTGGTGGAATCCTCATCGTCGTTGTCCTCGTCATTGTCGTAGACAGCCACCTGACCATCCGAGTCCACAAACTCGATGCCATCGTCCGAATCGGAGTCCTCCACGGTGGGTCTGCCAACGAAAAACCACAAACTTTAAAGGGGAACGGACTGGAGAGGACTGTGATCGATTCCTACATGTAAGCATTCCACATGCTCGATGAACTGTCCTCCTCCTCATCCTCTGTCACGGCGATGCCCAGCTGCGGCGATTTGGCTGGCTTCACGCTCAATTCCTGCTGGCTCTGCGACCACTCGCCGCCCAGCAGTTTGTCCATTTCCGCTGCATCGGCATCGTTCACGCTCTCGATCCAACTGTTGAAGTACCGCACCACATTCTCGTGGTTCAGGCGCGACAGCAGCTCCACTTCGCGTGTCATCTTCTTGTACAGCTGGCGACTGCGGGCGGGCAGGGGTATGCGCTTGATGGCATACTCCCTGTTGTCCAGGATGTTGCGCACCTTCAGGACGTCCCCGAAGGCGCCCTTGCCCAGATACATGAGCACCTCGAACTCGGTTCGCAGGCGGGACTGGCTCAGAGCCAGTGTGGGTATTTGGTAGGGCATGGGCGGCCCCGTGCGCTGTGCAGGAATGGGGTTCCTTTGCTGTGGCAGGAGCTGCTGGTGCGGATGCTGTTGGCCATTGTCCACATAGAAACGCAGGAAAGGATGCTCCAGCAGCTCCGAGGCGGAGAGCGTGCGATCGGAATTGCATCTGTAAGTACAGGCAGATTAAAAGGGGAGTGCATCTCAGGGCATTCCCTGGACACTCACTTGTCCACAAAGTCGCGCATCTCGTAGCTATTCGTTGGCATCAGTGCCTCCACCAGGGCGCCCAGTGCTGGCAGATCCCCTTGACTGCTGCTCTGTCCGGCGCCACCAATCAGCTCCAGCAGATTGGGCACCAACGAGAAGTCCGTGCAGCGCACCGTTCCCGTGTTGTCCATGAAGACGGTGCTGTCCAACAGGTGGCTGTGACAGACGCCCTTGTTGTGGAGGAAGACGAGGGCGTCCAGCACGCCGCGGGCCACCATGCGCGCCCCGTCCATGCACCAGCCCAGCGAGGAGGAGATGCTGAAGACACTCGTGCCCAGCAGGAAATCCTGCACCAAATAGACGAGCAGTCCCTCCTTCCGCTTGATGCACAGCACGCACTCGTATTGGATGAGATTCTTGTGCTGCAGCTGGGACAGGGTGGCGACCTGCTTCTCGATGGAGGCGATTACATCGTCGACGCGATGATTGCCCAGGCACTTGGGCTCGTTGCCCCAGTGGCACTTGCCGTTGCCGCTGCAGGGCTGCTCGATCTGGGAGTACTTGATGTTCCACTCCGTGATGTACAGCAGCTGGCCGCAGTGCATATCGATGCCCACGTAGGCGATAAAGCCGCGCTGCGAGTGGCCTACAACAAAAGCAAATAATTAATACTTTGGCTGCGGCAACGAAACCATGACCTACCCAAACAGCAGCCGCGTTGTATCTGACGTCCCACCTTGTGGAAATACAGTGTCTCTGTGCTGCGATGGTCCAGGCACTTGTTGGGGTACATGTGGCCGCGGTAGTAGGGCGACGAGTTCTCCGAGCTCTCCGATGAGCTGGCATGCCGGTTGTTCGACTCGCTCATGCTGCGGCGGGGCTCACCGCGCCGCTTGGCCTCCGTTTTGAACATTTCCTTGCGGCGCTCCACCTCATCGATGAGGGTCTGCCGCTGAAGGGTTTCCTTTTGGATCTTTTTGTCCAGCAGCTCCTGTTCCCGCTTCTGTTTGTCCTGCAGCATTTGGTCGTAGAACGAGCCCTTGGGCGGCTTGTTGTGCTGCAGGAGGAAGGCCTGGACGGTCTGGGCCAGCTCGTAGATCATTACTTCGCCCCGCAACTCCTCCGATTGGGCCTTCAGCTGGCTCCGCAGTGCGTCTAGCAGCTGATCCGACATTCCCTTGGACTCCTCCAAGGCGATTTTTGGTGTTCTGCAAATAACAGACAAAAGACTCAGAATTAGCCAACTCTTGGGGCATCTCTAGATTCGCAATAATCGCACATTTTTGGGTACTTGGAGGGACATGTTACATGGAGTTTGGTGCACACATAGGCCTGCGTGTGCCCGTTGGACGAGTCCCGCAGCGGTGTCAACAGGATCTTAATGTCCGTGGGCTTCCATTGGTTGGGATCGCTCTGTGGCCGCAGATCCTCTACGTCTGCTCCAAAGATGGCCTGCAAATGAAAAACTCCGCAGTTATTTCGTCATTTGCCAAATGCGCAACAGCTTTCCCAACCCGACCGCCCCCACCATCACGCCACCCACCTTTATGACCTCCAGCTCCTGTGTCTGCCTGTCGCGAAAAGATTCCTTCGCTGCCATTTGTTCATCAAATCTCAATTGAAACTCAAAACCCCCCCTTGAAAGGGCTGGGAGTGAAAATACTGCAGAGTCGGCTTTCCGCCTTGTTATAATTTTTGCGGCCGGTGAAACGTTTGTTCTGCTCTAGCAGCTGTTTCTCCGTCAGCTGCGCTATGCATCACTTTGTCTCTGCTTTCGATTTGTAGCAGTTGCTAAATGTATTCCAATTGGATTTTTAAACAATTTGGTTGCATATTTATTCCAACTTGTTGCTTTTTTGTGAGTTTTTATGGAAATTTATAGAATTTTTGTAGTGTAGAAGTGTGACCGCGGATATTCTGATAAAATATACCGTCTGACCATCACAAATATACCCAAATATACCGTCTTATTGTCAAAATATACCGAACATATACTGATTAAAAAACAAAGTTAGACCACTTAACCCCCTCTATTTGAACAATTTGAGCCTAGCTGCGGCATCAATACTGTGTTTATAACCAAGATATCTGTCATCTAAACCGCGCTAAAACTGAAACGTTCTTCATTTTCGGGTGTGTATTTAAGTACCCAGCTTATGACACTGCAGCGACATTATAAGCTGGGCCACCTTCTTTGTATCGTACACCATGTGGTGAAGAAAGCTCAAAGCTCTCTCAAGTAACGGTGCTTTGTTTGTGCGTGCTTTGTGGTGTTTTAGAATTGTGTTTTCCACGTTTGATGCAATATTTGTGTTAATTTCCTTTGAAAAGGAACCGTAATGATAAAGTGAGCTCGGGTGCTAGTGGTCATAAATAACAACACGCCGGGGCAACTAGCGACGGAGCCTACTGGCGACACATTCACACAGCCACAGGTGGACACATTCCAAAATGGCGGGAAGTCAGCATTTCGGCTATTGCGAGATCGCAACCAGGCCCCGAAAGTTGCGCTTTGATGTTCTTGCGGCCAAGGAGAACAAGAAATAACTGCCAGCGGTGCTCCATGCCATGTTCGTGGATCGGCGGGATGGTTTTATGATGCACAAAAGATGCTGCAGCGTGAATCACTGGTGCGTGGCTTTGTGCGCGTCAGGAAGCTGCTGGAGCTGCTCCCTCAACAACACCCTGTAATTGGATGATCCGGCTGGATAATACCGCACGGGACTTGGCCACGAGGCCCTGGAGGTCGAATACTTTGTGTCGCACTTGGAGATCACCAACGGAGCAACCCGCGTCGGTGCTCCGTCCGCTGATGTATCCGTAAGTTTTCCTTTTTCTATAAATTATCAGATATGTATTCCTTTCATTATGTCTCAGAATTAATTTGAAAACAAGCAACAGTATATTTAGAAAGCAGTCGAAATTTTCAGTAAACGAAATTACGCGTATTTGTTAATCAGCCAGAGGAAGGGGGACGGACGATCCCTCTTTGAGTTCGAAAGCGACGATGAATTCGCCGATAAGCAAGCGATGCCACCACGTGATGGTGGCCCTAACAGACACCAATCGTCGGTACCACCCCGAATTGCTGGAGGGCACCAGCCTGGACGACGAATTCAAGATACTGGATCGAAAATCCGTGCTCCTGCGCATGCCGATGGCCTCCAAGTCGAAGCAGGAAGAAGTACCGCGCTATTATCGCCACCTGGAGTTCGATGCGATTGGCTACGAGTGCGAGCCGCATGTGCGGGAGCAGCTGAGCGATCTGGTGGGCGACATGTTCCGGCAGCGTCGTCATGGCTGTCTCCTGCGCCTGACGCCGCACCGCACCAACAACATGAACCTGTTGACGCGCCTGCTGGTCACGGAGGTGGACAGCATAATGCTGCTGTATCGCTACCGCCTCAAATGCGTCAATGTGGAATACTTTGACCTGCGGAAGTTCGACATGGCCAACATGCTGCTGCAGCCAGGTTCAGCGATCCGTCCGTCGAGTCGTCGTCAAGTGCAGAGCGGCCGCACCTTGCAGAGCACTCGGGAGCTGTTGCAGTGGCTACTCAACGATTTCCCCACCATCCGGAGCCGGTCCGTGGGCGACGACTACATCGACATTCAGTTTGTATTTCGCGATGGCCAGCATGCGGTTCGCCAGCTGCATTTCACCCTGTTCCAGATCTTTGGCTGCGAGGACCGGCAGGACATGGCGGACTTCTTCAGGGACCTGCCGCTGGGGAAGCAGAGCAACAGCACCCTGCTCACCGACTGCATCAAGGAGTCCTTCGACTTTCAGCGTCCCATCGGCACATTGGTGATGATCGAGCTGCCGACGGGACGAGAATCGCAGACGGCGTTGACCCGTAAGCTGCTGAAATTGGCCGATGTGGCCTACGTGTCCATCGTCAAGGCCCACCAAGCAGCCACCAATCCGAAGGCGCGAGCGAAGGCAGTACCAGCCTCACAGAGCTCCACGAATCTACAGAAAATCACACCGAGCTGCAGCTTCAAAAACTCCTTTCCGTCAGTGTCAAATATTTCCAACTCCCTGGTCCGTCGCGGGGGGAAACTCTCAAGCGAGGACTACAACAGCCTCGCCTACTGGTACAATCGCATCGACTCGAAGCTGCTGGAGCTGCAGCTCAGCATGGAGGAGCACTACATGGCCCTGTATCGCCAGAAGGGCTTGACGATCTGCAGCGAACTCCGCTCCATGGAGACCGACGAAAGCGCCGGCGATGGCCAGCCCCCGCCAATGGCCACCAATCGGGAGCAGGAGACGGCCTGCGCGTACACGGAGCTGATGAAACAGTTCCGAAAGCTGGAGATCGATGTGAAGAAGACCAGCTTTGCCTCCACCCTGAACGTCTACATTGGCACCAAGAACCACGAGCTGGCGGAGATGGAGAAGGCGTGCAAGCTAAAGGCCATTGCAAACATGAGACTCACTTTGATAGAGTTCATGAAGCCAGAGTCGGAAGCGGAACCACATTCGAATTAGGAAAGACTCGGGGCTTTTCTAGGGGGTATACATATATAATTTAATATACATTTATATATAAATACATACAATATTATTGTCAACAATATGTTTCATAGTAGTTTAAACAGATTCCCCAGCTGCGGCTCCTATCGTAGTAAATGTGTAGCTTGAATGCTAAATAGGCAATAATACGAGTTATACGATTAACACTCTCCCAGGGGGGGCGGGGGGCTGTCCCCCGTCATAAATGTAAAGACACCCAAAGCAATCAACAACAACTAATCAATGCTGAAATCAATTCTACAATTCGATAGACAACAATTTTCCAATATTTTCAATATCTTATTACAATAATATGTATATGTGGGAATACCTATGTAGTTCTGCTTCTCTATTGGATATGTGAGGGTTGTAGGCAATGTTGGAGGCCAAAAAGGTAGCTGGATTCAATCAGGATTTGTACAGTTGTCACAGTAAATGTTTTCTCTAAGAAAACGCTATATGATAGTCTGCTATTGGGAATGACGTTGATTCGCTGTATATGTAAATTACCCATAAGCAAAAGGACTCTTTCGTTGAACACGAACTGTTTTCCTGGACAGAATCTCATTAAAAACGTTTTTGTCGAGGCACATCATAGTCTGAATGTGCTGCTTATGGTTTTAAACACAAATTGTGGAACTCAAATTGCCGGGCCACTTAAGACTACACTAAAAAACGAAACGTATCTTTAAAATTATATCGTATAAGCTTTAAAATTAATAGATCCTTTTCTAAGAACTAATCTCAGAGCTCTGTAAACCTGTCAAATGAGTGAGTTTCGAAGTATTTCCTATGGTATTTCTTGAACAAGCAAAAAACATTTAAACTATTCGAAAGGTCTATCGATAATCTTCAAATTGGCAAACGACTCTGGAGCATGTGTTTTCCTTGTAATTTCCCATTCGTTTCACAGTCTTTCGCATAGTCCCTGGAGCCCCAGAGCCCCAGAGCTGTCTGCCCACTGGACACTGTGTGTATATAAAAATATGACCTTCCAGGAGATCTTGGAATTCCAGGGAATTAGATCTCCTTTCCAGGCAAGTTCTATGTGTTTTATGTGTATCTTTTGGCTGGCTATAATGTCGTATAATGTCGTATTAGAGGAGTGTCTGTTTAAATGCTTTCATTTGCTGTTGGCCCGAAGAACATACATCTTTACACCTGAGCTGGTTTCGTTTGCCTTCCGAGTACCATGAGCAGCTTTTGTAGGAAGTGTGTGATGCTTACTGGAATACAAAACAAGAAAAACATCATTATATTAGTTGGATCTCTTGATAATGGATATCTCTTTCGTATCTACAGAGTATCTAGGGTTTTTTTTTGTTGGGTGCAAAGTAGAGTTTTTGAGGAGTGCAAAATCTTCATCAACCATCTAGTGCTGAATGTTTGAAATCAAAATTAAAACTAGGATAAATAGCAAACTTAAAAACCTTGGACGACGCCTTGGGGCGCACAACCATCATCAGTTTCTGTAGGGTTTGTGTCAGTCCGCCTGTAAGAGTTTCAGAGTTGGGAGTACAGCGTGAATCGAAATGAAGCCAGAGGAGGGAGAGCCAGAGAGAGGGGGACAGCGAGGTCACCGACTTACCCATGAACTTCTGGAACCAGACGGGCTTGTTCTTCCAGGCAATGAACACCAGATAGACGGGTATGCTCGAGAGGATCATCAGAATGCCGTAGCCCGTCTCCACGGGACTGGCGTACATGGGCACCACGGTCACGAACACGGTGGCCAGCAGGTAGACAATCGGGAAGACCAAGGGCACACGGATGGGACGCGGCAGATTGGGCTGGGCCCACCGGAGCCACGGCAGGCACAGGACAGAGACGCCGATGCTCAACTGGAAGGAAGGGCGATATTAGCGAGGGGATTCCCAGACTCTTGGCGGTTTCCCGGACTCACCCAGGTGGCGAATCCCACGTAGTTGATCAGCGCAAAGATGTCGGAGACGGTGAGGTACAGCATGGAGAGCAGGGCCATGGCCAGCACAGCTGGTGTCGGCGTGAATCTCTGGATCTGGATCATCGTTAGGATCTCGGGCATCTGGCCCTCGTTGGCACCGGCATAGAACAGACGCGAGGAGGTCAAAAGGATGCCATTCACAGCTCCAAAGGTGGACAAGGCCACAAAGACTGCAAAGCGAGTAGAAGAAGGCATAAGTATGAGGAATGGAGGTCCTCTAGGAGGCTATCCACCCACCGGGAATGGTCCAGGCCAACGCCCCGAAGGCTCGCTCCGCGTAGGTCACCGCCACCGCCGAGGAACCCATGACCTCATCGGGCGACAGGATGGTGTAGAAGGACACATTCGCCATCACATAGACGATGGTCACCAGGGTGCAGCTGATGGCAATGGCGCGGGGCAGATTCTTGACGGGATCCTTCAGCTCCTCGATGATAAAGTTCAAGTAATTCCTGTCAACAAATCCAATTAGCAACTGGCTCGGAGTCTGGAGACAAGTAAGCCGCTTACCAGCCGTTGTACGCGAACAGGCCCGAGTAGAAGGACAGGGCCAGCGACGTGACTCTGGTGTCAGTGTTGTCGAACGTAAAGTACTGGACATTGCCCAGCGACAATTGGTACATGCCCGTCGCAATGATGATGAACAAAGCCAGCAGCTGTGCAAATAAAGGCATTAGCGTAAGCCAGATTGGAAGCTTCCTTGACTTACTTTGGCATATGTGAAGATATCCTGCACAGCGGTGGCCCATTTAACGTCCCAGCAGTTGATTAGGGTCAGCACCACTGTAAAAAACGAAAGGAAAAAACCCATTAGACTAGTCGCTTGGACACGCTCGGCCAAAGATATCGCCAGGCCTCATGGGGTGATGTAATAGCGAGAGGACTTGCAACATCCGACAGTACCCGCACGTTATTTATGGCTCTGGCCATTGTGTCATGTGAACGCACTTGATTCCGCTCACTTAAATCAATATTAAATATAAGTAACACTAATAAGTCACTATCTGCGCGAACAAGTTCGGTTTGGGTAGTAAAAACTAATGTTTGATTAAAAAACGTTCAACTTTAATGGTTCCACGGTACTGTACAGCAATTAAGTGAGGATTTTCCAGCTGTTGGAGTCTATAGAAAATTTTTGAAGACCTCTCTGAGTCGACTTTAATCGGTTAAAAGTACTCTCCTGCTCCGGAAAGTTCCCTAATCCTTCTATCCCACACATCACTCCACTTCAAGGGCCTTAAAAACATATTCTTTTCATTATTACGAACCCAAACTATAGTTTCTTCTAATCTCCCTTGGAAAACAAATCCAAAAACCCCACGAAAACCCCTCACATCCCCCATAGACCCCTCTCCCAGACCCCCTGATAAGCCGCATATGGCAAACTCTTTCTGTTTGTTTATTTGCTTTGTTCTCAGGGGGATGGATGGATGGATGGATGGATGGATGTTCGAGTATTTAAATGGTTTTCTAATCTATGGGTCAAGTACGCGCCTGGCGAATATATTCACGAGTGCATTGAATACTCACAGATGCAGCAAACGGCCAGGAGACGGGCCGAATCTTCTGGCGGGGAGCACTCTGGAAAGAAGGGCTTCAGCACATAGGTACTGAAGGTGAGGGCCACGATGGCCTGCGAGCAGGGACGCACGATCATGCACTCGATCCAGAGCCGGATGAAGGCCATGAACGGTCCAAAGGTCTCCATGATGTATGCATAATCGGCGCCAGACTTGGTGATCATCGTTCCCAGTTCGGCATAGCAATAGGCGCCCACCTAACAAGCGATAGGGAGAGAGAGAGAAGCATAAATTAAAGAGTTCCACAAAAGTGTTAAAGAGAAGCCAAAGAACCCAAAGGCAATGCTGCGTATACGTAATTTTTATTGAAGCAGAGGCGCGTGCGTTTGACATGGGCTTGTCATCATGGGGGAGGGATGGGTGTGGAGACACGAGTGTGAGTGTGAATGAGTGAATGATTGGGTGGAGGAAGTGATGGAATTTCAATAATTTCATTAAGCGACGCACTGGCACGCCGCCAGCATTCGTAATTGAATGAAAAGGTCCTTCCTCCAATGCCTATCGACATTCATCCACTGTTCATTTCCACAGCTGTTCCTACAAAACTTGTTCCACAGCCCCAACAGGTGTGCCCAGCAAACACCTATTCCCCATTAGCATATCAAATGATTTACTTAATATTTATGAACCTCTGGCGATGCTCCACTCACCATCGAGAAAAGTCCGGAAGCCACCCACACGATGAGGGCCAGGTTCACGCTGCCCGTGTACATCAGCACGCCGGTGGGTGAGACAAAGATGCCCGAGCCAATGATGGAGCCCACGATGACCGTGCAGCCGTTGAGGAGACTCATCTTGGCCTTCAGCGTCACCTCGCCACCGCCGCCGTCGCCGCCATCTGCATCTCCGTTGGTCAATTTGGTCGAGGCATCTCCATTCCCATTCACAATGGAGCTCTTCCGCGAGGAATTCTTGCGATTCAACGACTCCGTTTCCATGGTGTCGTCACTGGTACTTCAACGCTGCCTGCCTGAAACGGAAAGAACCATTAAGTCGAGGGCCTTGCCAATACGATTCTGAAGTTTGCCAAAGGAAAAGGTCAGAGAAGGTTCTTAACTGAAGAGGAAATGGAAATGGAACAAGAACTATGGGGGTTCTTACGTTTATTACGTGAAAAGTTATAGAGATGTTTATTATAATTATAACAAATAATAATAGAAGGCTTTTATGGATTCTTTATGGTCCGTATCTTAAAGTTTAGACCTGTAATATGCCTCTCGTCTTGTGAGAATTTTCTATGAAATCTCTACATTTCTTTACTCCCAACAAAATCGATTAACTATGAAATTATTTTGACCTTTTCTTCCATCTGTTTTATTACACACGATTGTTTAGAACATGGCTTTATGGCTCTATAAATTGAACGTGTTTAGATGTTTGCATATCTAATTTTAGCGAAATTTGAAAACGATAAACTTTTCCCGGAATTCCCAGAACATTCCATCTTTAATTTTGTTAATGAACTTGTCTTCATAATGTTTCTAATTAGTTATTTGTCTCCAGTGACTACTTTTCCGTCTTGTCATTGACTCTGAGAAATGGCCGTGCTAATTGTGCGATAAAAACAGCGAAACAGAGACGTTCAGAGGCGAGTGCTAAATTCTGATTCTGTTAATTGTTTGAGCAATGTTTGGTTGAGATTTATCTGGTGACTCAATTGTATGTTTGAGTTGGGTCTACGAATGTTTGCCTGCCATTTTCATAATCTTTGTTTGGGGATCGGTCTGCCACTCACGATTCTCTGTCGCTGCAGTGAAAGGTACGAGCGAGTCTGTGCCCAGAGGTCAGCAAAAAAACATTGCTCTACTTTTACTTTAATGTTTTTTCTGTGCTCTTTTCGATTTCTGTGTCCCTTTGCTTATGGGAAATTTGTACAGCGCAGCGAAACGTCATGTGGCATGTGCCAGACAAATGGCACAGGGGTTTTGAGGGTATTTGAGGGCGTCTCTGGCTGTGACTTTTGCTACTTCATTATCTGCAGCTCACAATGATGATGAGGAAGCAATGCTTTTGCGATTAAAATTTCGGATCGCAGTTCGTTAAACCCAAAAGTCCGACGACGCCTGAGGATTGATTGATAAATGGGCTGAAAGGAAAGGCACGTGTAGGCCCATAAACTCCACAAATGGGGAAAGACCTCATAAAGACCCCGCCCATCGATATCATTAGGTCACGCTGTTTGTTTTTGCGTATTACAGGGGTAGAGGTAGAGGTAGAGCCCAGACAGGGAGGAACAGAGTGTGTGGGCGGGCACTTCCTCGAGCCGAAAGCAAAGGCCGGCTTTGGACACACGCTCTGCATAAATTAGCATGTCATCAGAGAGCCGAACACAAAGAGAGTGTGACTCAGTTATGGGAATAACAGGTAGTACTAGTACTGCCACTAGTAGAATTCCAAAACAAAACAAACAGTTGAATAAACTAATGAGCAGCCCTAGATTTATGACACGGAGAACCGGAGCTAATTGCCCATCCGATGTGTTCTTCTTGGCCAGCCAAGCCGAACGGAGTGGCCAAAAGCCGAAAAAACTTGGCATTCTCCAGTTGCAATATCACTTGCTTCACTTTCCCGACCACTAATTACCGATTGGCACTCGGTATTTTGTTTATTCCGGGTATTTCGAACGCAATTCATAGGAAATACCGGGCCTTGCATCATCTTAGTCACTGTCTTCGGGGATCTCTCCCGATTCGAACGTGTGAAAGGCAATTGCTGCCGCATGTCATTAGTTCATTGTTCATTAGCCGACTTTTTCTTTCCCTGTCGAACATTCACTACGGTGTTGGCCCCATTTATCCGCATTTCATGGTAGATACAATACATTATTGATTCCACATATCATATGGCTATCTTTCTCTGGCAAAATCTGTGGCCGCGTGCGTAAACACACAAAAAAACCAAAAAAAGCCATTAATTTTGGTATAGTAAACAGAAATTGCTTGTTTTTGTTCTCTGAATTATTCAGATACATCAGTGTAGCCGAACAAATAGATGTGCTATCAATATCCCATGTCTGTTACCCGGAAAAAATGCGATGGCTATCAACAAATTGAAGCTAATTATGGTTGGCTTTTTAGGAAATTATACACTGAATTGTGGGATTGCTGGCGGTGTAATTACAAGTGGAATGGAGCTACTAATGAGGGACTTTCAGATACAGAGCTGGAAGATACAGAAAGAGGGAGGAATTTCTGTTTAGGAATTCTTTCGGTTCCATAACAACGTGCTAATGTCTGTTCTTCTGTATTCCGAAGTCTATTCGGAATAAATATGCCTTGAAACTCGTACAATAACATTCGAATTTCCTCTTATTTCGGGCATAACCTTCGATTTCTTTGACTTGAAATCTTCAAAGAACACAAAACTTTGTATTCTATCTGTTCAGCAAACAAATCTCAAGCAAAGCCATCATAAATTCTTATCAGCAGAGCACTATGTATACCGGTGGAATTTGGAATTTCTTTTGATTCACAAAAAAATAATAAAACACGAGGGAACCGGCTCGAGTCGCATGCCCGGCATCAACAGGTCCGACTTAATCGTTAAATTAAAACTAAATTTAGAAAAAATATACAAGCTCCGAAATGATTATAAACAAGTATATCAAAACTTTTGTGGCACAAATAAATTTTTGCGAGCAAATAATGAGCATTTGGCATGCATTTTATTTATTTTTTTTAACACAAACACTTGTAATAAACACATCTTTTAACCGCTTATTTTGTAGGAAATTCGTATCTAATGCTCGTGGAGAATGCTTGGGAAGATTAGAGGGCTTTCTGCTACCTGCTCAAGAGGGTCTTGACACGCCGCTAAGAGAAACGCTACGAAAATCCAGCTACGACGGAGCACCAGAACCGCACGCCGTCGACCGATAGAGCAGAATGAGCGGGGCATCTTCGTGGAGGAAATCTCAGCCAGAGGTTAATCGTACGTATACACCCCGTATAGGTATAGTATATGTATTATATTCGTATACCCTACGCTCTGCTCTGCTCGGCGACGAAGCTCCGGCCGTGGTGGAAGCTCTCTCGGAGGGAGCTTTGGAGGCTCGCTTTGAAGCTTGTTCCTAACCGGCATTTATTTTTTTGAATTTTGTTATTTGGCTCGAAACAAGTTTCTCGTGTTTGTGTTCCCTCCCGTCGTTGCGTTGCCGAAAAAAAAGGTTGTTCTTGTTTTATGCTCTCACCGACAGAATATTTACCTCTAAGTGTGTTCGACGGCAAAGGGGGAAATGGTACACGCTGTCTTTTATCTTAAAGATACCCCGAAACCCAAGAGCAACTCTCATTAAGTTGAAGGTTTTTCCATTTGTTTGCACATGTGCCGGAACGTTAGGGAACTTGTGGAGTACTGTACTTGCAGTGAGGTACCCTCCCTATATACCTATATCTTTGTTGACTTGCGATCGTAGGCAGACATCGCTTCAAACATGCAAATTATATAGAAACTACGCTGATTTTCGCGCGCATATTCAAATCCATTCCCAACCCACTTGTCCCGATCTATAATTGAATATATCCGCACTTGGGGCCGGCCACAGACAAAAAGAAAAAAAAGAAAAATAATTCAATTCAGAAACCGTCACACAATGGTGTCTCCGCAATTCCACGCAATTTCTTTGTAGAATTTATTTAAATAACTTTTATTATTGTTAAATGTTTGCCTTCTTTCAGATCTATAGCACATTACCCCAAATCTGTTGCTTCGGGCCATTCGAGTTTATTGACCACAGAAACAACGAAACAACGAAACAGCGAAACAACGAAACAAAGGTTGATTGAGGTTTTCGATACGATACCGATGCTCTGATTCAGATTCGTATTCTGATGTCGATATTCATTTTTGATCTGTTCCGCAGCCGGTTTGGTTCTCAAACCGCACAAAAAGTACCCATCATCGGGTTGCTTAATCTTTCGTTTATTAGTAATTTGTGTTTATAAGCTTGAATTAACGACAATTGACGGTGCGCCGGCAGACGTCATAGAATGTGTTTGAGATTCGGTGTGAAAGTTAATGGAGAATCTTGAAGTGTTGTGGCACTTGGCACCATTGATTTACTATACATTTGTTTGGGTAAATCTGGTTCCATTTACTTGCTAAAGTCATTGCTAATACCCCTCGTTAATATCGCTTTACTCGTTTTTAAGGAAATTTAATACACAATCTGTGACATCTGTTTGCATTGACAAATGGCTCGGATAAGGAACAGCAAACATTCAAATGCTTATTCAAGGCCAAAAGGCTCACCAGCAGCTGGGCCTTTGACCCTCAAAAACACACCTTGCCCCAAAATGTGGGTGTCACACCCACAGGGTATTATGTTGCCGTACGTCGCATTGCGTTGGCTACTTAATTTAGAGATCGAGCTGCACTTATCGTTGGGTTCTGCGGCTCGGCTAGAATTTCAAGTGAGTGGAGTGTCACACGTTTCGTGACGTTTGTCACCGACTGATCCAACCACTGGGCTCTATTGCATCAGACTGAATCGGAAACTGTTGGAGGTATTTACTATCTTTATCTGTGCATCAATATTATCCCAGATTAAACACGAACGAAGGCGCCAAAGTGTCTGGTTAGAGCTTTCGGAAGCTGGGTGGGTGTGTGGGAGGTCCCCCCCTCTGTGACGTCACGACTTAGGCAGACCTGTGACGCAGATACTATAATCCTTGCAGAACAGAACAGAACAGAACCCAAAAATAGCCTTGCAGACAGAATGTCATGGACTTACGCGCAAATCGAAATTGATTTTTTGTTGAATTAAAAAGGAACTGGCTCTCAGCACAATCGAGTTCTCAACATTTTCCAGCACTTTTCACAAGATTATTAATACAGTATTCTATTTTTATGTTATTTTAACTTATCGAATGAGGTTTTTACGTTGTACGGTGCGCTGTTGTAGAAAAGTGTAAGGCCTCAAGACCCGTTCCGTTGTCGTGGCCACAGTTCCCGTTAAACTGAAAGCATGCTCTCGTGGGTTACAGCATCAGCAGCGGAGAGAACGAGCGCCAGAGCCAGAGCCAGAGCCAGAGAGATGGGTTGGGTTGGGTTGGGGTCTCTGTAGCTGTCTCTGATAAGAGGGCATCACGAGCATGGGCAAGGCACGACGAGCAGAACAGGCCGAAGAGCTGGAGAGCAGCAGGCAGTTTGCAGTTTGCAGACTCGTCCGTCCATCGTCCATCGTCGGACCACGTTTTTTGAGAACAGAACCTTTTTGCGTACTTCAAATTACACATTTCGTCAGGCAAAGGCAGACATACAACCCCCAGCGCCATCAAGGGTTCTTAGAGGTTGGTCATGGGCTTTGGCTCTGGCCTTTCAAATTATGCCTTGAATGTTTCAGGCCCCTTTTTTTGTGCCATCAAATGCAAAGCCTTTTGTTGTTGCGGGCAGAGAGCTTCGCATAAATCTCTGGCTCTGCCTTGCTCTGCTCTCTGGGAATCGCGCTCCCGAAGCGGGTTTTCATTGTTGGGCTCAAGGTCAGGCGAGTCCTTGTGCGCATGTCCCGGGCACAGCTTCTTGTTCTGCCTTCAACCTTCGTTAAGAATGCTTACACTAGAGCTGGAGTTCAGGATATTAAGTAAAGAATTGCTTGGTTCTTCTATTTATTTTAATGCCTTCCAGAAGGAATTCTTCTTTTCCAAAAGTCATTTGGAAGAGTTTAAATTTCAATTTCAATTTCAAATTTCAAATTTAAGTAATTGCAGAAAACAAAATCTTAATTAAAGAATTAATAATGTTTTGTCCCAAACACACACTTTTAAGCAGTGGCGCCATATTTTATCAACGGGCATTGCCGGAACCATGCCTAGCAGAGTTTTCTACTTTTAGTAAAGACATAAACCCAACCACGTAAGATGCCAGCTTTGCAAACGCAACGTAAGGTGTCGCCACTGTGACATGTAGTATAGATGTAGATATTGTGTAGGCCCAGAAAAACTTGGACGTTGCTATTTGAAAAAGCAGAAGAGATCTGTGCCGCCACATCTAACTGTTAGAGTGGTGTGCCATAGGGGAACTTAGACAGGACGGTGACCTTTGAGCACGGCAGAATGACAGGATATATATACTATACATGCCGGATGTTATAGGGGGATAACCAAGTAAGTCCCATTGCACTCAATACACTCTAAGGACTCATTGCAGTCGTGAACGGCCTAAGGAAACTGGGTTTTTGCTCTAGATTCTGGTTTTCATCTGTCCATATATCCATATATCCTTTATTGGCTCATAGAGGCTGTCCCTGTGGCTGTTGCCAGCATTTATTATACCCCTGGGATTTTCCAAAGTTCATGTTTTAGTTTCAGGTGCTGAAAAACACCCGATTGGCCCAAAATATGAGGCAGTCTAGCCTCTGGCAGCTTAGGATTATGAAACCGCAGTAGAACATTCGTATGATGCTTTCCGATGGAATCCGGTGATGCGCGAATAATAACCGATTCAAGCTCTCAAATCATGAAAAATCATTCGTCCCTGCACTCCATGGAAATATGTTCGACATCACACTGAATAAATGCACAAAAAGTATCACCGATGATAGTGGAAGGACTTGCCGCAGCCGTGTGTGAACCAGTGCCATGTGGCATGCCCCTTGTGCGCCAGCAGCTTTGGCTCCCGTGCGACCTGTTCATGCGTAGAAGCTGTATTGTTGGGCGCTTAAAAGAGATTGCTGCTGCAGTTGTAAATGCACTTTCCATCGCACAAGTAATGGGGTGGGGTCGTATGAGTGTCTGTGTAACATGTAACACGCATACGCACTGTTGCACTGCCATAAAAGGCTCCCGTTTTGGGGGTGGTAGGGGCCGGGGTAGTATTGCGTTCACTTATTAGTTTGTTTTGGCAGGAGGGTAAAATCAATCAATGAACAACTGACAAACACCTCTGCCACTGCCACCCCATCGAACATGCCCCAAAACACACACACAATTTGATGGCATCAAAGCTTCATTTGTGTGCGCCGCTGCCCCGTACCGCCACGGACCGGATGCAGGGCCGGCAGGATATGAACGAACTATGTCCAGCCTCTACGGACAGCAACGCATATTTTTCCATACACTCGTATGACATCCGTCCATGCCATGGCTCTGCTCTGCTCTGTTCTGCTGATGTTTTGCCTCGTTTTTTGCGTTGCGTTGCGCTGCGTTGTCCAACGCTTTTGATCCTTACGTGACTGTGACAATTGTCGCTGGCACCTGTACTCGTATCTGTCCGGCGATGGGGGAGTTGACGGCAGAAGATATATATGCGCTCGGACGGCGTCTGCTTTTTTGTCATCACGATGGCGGCAAAGTTTTCCTCCCCTTCGCCCCCTTTCCATTACAGATGCTGCAGGGGAAAAAAAGAGAAGTTCCTATGCATTTTTGCTTATCGCTTCGTGCCTGAGCAAATTTTCGAATATTTTCCCTATGCTGATCAATGAAGTGCGCACTTTTTGCCGCCTCTGTGAGTAAAACAAGCTCTAAGCTACTTACGGCAGACAGACAGGAGACAGGAGACACAGTGGTCGAGCAGTGGTCCAAACTTATTCAGAAATCGTTGCTTAAGAGTCCTCCTCTTCCGTTCACTGTGTGCAGGAAGGATAACAGCTCGCTCTGTCTCTTTCGTACCCTGAAAATTTATGCACTTCCTGACCCAAGCCGGAGCTGAAGAGCCACATGAGAAACGCACAGGCACTGGCACAGGCGAGCAGGAGATTGGAAGCATAAGAGGGACTTTCCACTGACAATGAAGTGCAAAGCAGCTTTTGATAGCCTTTCTCCCATTCGGAGTCAGGGTCTGGACTCGAATTGCAGTCGTCTGGTCGGTATTTATGCAAAGTGCCGCCTGCCGGGTTGCCTGCTGTCGGCTTAT